TGACAATTTATAGTTGCACCAAAACGTCACAATTATACAACCATTTTGCTGCATAATTATTGTTGCAATAATACAACACATATAACAATAAATGTCTTCATGGTAAATTTGCAATGAAATTTGCTATACGTTTTATGTCGCAATAAGTTGTAACAATTTAAAGTTGCAAATATATGTCACAATTTTACAACAAAGTTACTACAATAGTTTTGTTGCGATAATACGACATAATAGCAAGAAGTCAATTCATTGTAAATTTTGTGACATATATGCAACAAATGTGAGTTTGCAACACTCAAATAGCAACAATACAAAATGTGTCTCAATTTTGTTGCAACCTGATGATTTGCAACGGTATTTTAAATTATTGTAACAATTTTTGGTGTTGCAAGATCACTCTTTTTTTGTAGTGTAATGTCTAACCATTCCTATAAAAGTCTATAATACAATTAAGAACTAACTGTTTATATTAAAGTATTTAATACGATTAACATATTATGCATTTATGATCTTGGGATGATATTAATTATACATGTATGTTGTATATGCGGCCTTGAGTTTATAACTTCAGCTGGTATTGTATCTTATTCGTTATTTTCAAATCCAATTCTACAATGAAGACACCAACATTATATTTTTTACTTTGTAAAAAACTAATTTTGTGTACTCTGAATCTGATAAATTTTGTTTTCTATTTTAATTTAATAATTCCTAAGCAATTTCCATGGCCTTATATAACTTATTGAGAGGTTATAATAATTTATCATTTCTTTAAGTCAAGATATCTTCTAACTTTTTCATAGACCGTGGAAAATGGATTAGGGTTTGAAGCTTGTGCTACCAAATGGTTCTACTATTGACTGATTTATTGTGACTGATATAAAATAACAGAAACTGAAGCTCAGCAGATGAATGAATGCAAAATGGAGAGACTTTTTGGAGGAGGATGCGGGAAAGACGGAGGAACAACATGCCTAAACGAGTTCAAACGGAACAGATGTGATGCTTCTCGTTGCAGATGTATCGATCATTTCCTTACATGGTCGCATACTTGCAAGTGTACGAAATAGCACGGCCTAGTTTTTAATATAGTTTATAGTATATGTTGGCATGTCAGATACGTCATGTCAGTTTAATGTTATTTCAAATTTGTTTTTTTACTTTTTCCCGTACAATTAATAATTCGGGTATCCACTCGGAATTTTAATTTATATTTTGGTTAAATAATCAAATAAAGATTATAATTTATACTTTCCTTTTATAGTTTGCAGGTGTTAATTTTTTGTGTCTAATTAATTTCTATGTCAAATAGCGCATATAAGTGTAGTAATTATTCCAACAGCTAGTTAAGACGATGATAACTATAATAGCACATAAAAAAAGACTTTAGAACAACAACAAAAAAAATTATATTTACAATTATCGCTATTTTAAATTATGGTTCTATAACAATGCATAATTTCATAACGATGTCAATTGCAGGATAAAAATTCGGAAAGTGAAAATTTTCCAATCGTAGCCTAAAATATAAAGAAAATTAGAAAATAGAAAACTAGAGTAAACCCAATAATCCAAAAAGGTTTCTTGGTTCTGTTTCAAAAAAAAAAAAGTTTTCTTCGTTTGGTTTTGTTTACGGCGTCTGTTGGGAGGGGGGGGGGGAGATTAAACCTCCGATTACTATTACAGTTTCCGGCGAGGATAAAGTGGTTCGTTTGCGTTTATAAAGATTGAGTAAAGTTGTTAACGATCCTAAATTGTGCGGCGAGACAACAACGAGATCGAGGTCTGACGTGTGATGGAAGTCATGGATGATTCTGATAGTGGTGACTGGGAACGTCGTCTTTTTCATTGTGGTGATGTACTACAACGATTTGCTATTCATGTCTAGCTAAGTTTCTAGGAAGATTCTCATTTGAGTCTTTCAAGTCCGATCCTCTTCTTGGTCCTTCTTCTTCTACGTGAGTCACTCATTCGCTCTCACAACATTGTAGAAATGTGGTTTCGTTTCAATGTTTAAGTTTTTATGATCTAAGTTTGAGAATTTAGGATAGTAAAAATATTCAGGTTTCAGTCATGTGAGTATGCGATCCAGTTCCTATCATAACGGGCCAGAGTTAAGATGTTGGGCCTTTTGTTCACATTCATAGGCCCATCAAGAGACTAAAAGCAGCAACGGTCTAAAGCTGTTTGGTCGGCTCTCAGACTTTGTCTTCACCTGCGACGTACGGGTACAGTGCAACAATGGTAACGGCGTGTGTTACGCTAGGTTAAATGTGTGAGCTGTAAAGGGGAACACACATGAGGTGTATAAAAGGAACAAGGTGAGGCAATGACAAAGGAGTGAGAGGAGCGTGAGTAGCACGCAGAAAGGTCTAGAGAGCATCATAGTATAGAGGTTGAACTTATCTTCTCCTTTAGCTAGTGTTGATTCTCTATTGGTTTATGATCTTGTCTGGTTTCTTGTACTCGGTGTTAAACGCTTAATGAAATCCTTGTGAGCGGGTTTAGCTCACCAAGACGTACCTTAGCCACGTTGGCTTTGGGAACTTGTAAATCCCTGTGTCTTCTTCTTCTTCTTCTTCTCATCTCTGTTAAACACAAAACACAAAACGAATCTTAGATTAACTATTCTTAACAAGCAAGTTTCTCTGACTAAAGATAAGCTGAAAAGTTCTACAAGTCAAAACCCCAATTTTTGCCAAAATTAATAGGATTAATTGGAAAAGTAGTACATTTTAAAAACATAATTATAAAACTAATACATATACTATTTATAATTAGGAAAGTAGTACATTTTCACTATTTGATACTATTTCAATGATTTTTAAGGAATCTGAAAACAGCTTATTTACGAATATGCCATTAGAATAATTATATAATATAATTTGTACATCATATTTTCTGTACAGTTATACAAAAATATATTTATGTACAATAATAAAAATACTACATAATATTATATGTACAACTTATAAGTGTACAATTGTACATAAATATGAATATTTATGTACACTTTTTCTAGCTATATGAATAAAAATGTATAAATTTTTATATTTCGGTACAATCAATAAACTGTACGTATACATCTGTACAGTTAATCAGATGTACATATACGTTTGTACATATATTAAACTGTACAAATACGTCTGTACACATAATAAATTGTACAAATACGTCTGTACACATACTAAATTGTACAAATACGTCTGTACATATACGTTTGTACATATACTAAACTGTACAAATACGTCTGTACACATACTAAATTGTACAAATAAATATATAAATATGAAATTTATTTAAAATTAATTTAGCAAAATGCATATCAAATTAAAGAGAAAAAAACATGGATTTTTATGTATCAAAAAAGTTTTAAAAACCAAAGTTATAATCCCTAATATTTTAATTATTAAAAATTTGGGGTGATGATAATAAACAAAATATTTAAAAAAAATAATTAAAAAAAAGGAAAAAAAAAATCGGGAGAACAAAAAAAAAAATACCCTTTTGTCATTTTCCCCCTTCTTCTTTATCTCTATTTCACATAATCTCTATCTCACAATGTAGGTCCTACGACTACTTTCCTAATTTTGAATAGTGTATGTACTATCTTTCCAATTATGTTTTTAAAATGTACTAAAATTCCAATACACCCAAATTAATATTGTAATTTCATATTGAATCTTGTTTTTGAGTAAGGGTTTACTTTTTAATCTCCAATGGCTTGGGGTTTGAAGCTTCACCTGCACTGAGGAGCTCTTATGTACAATTCTGGGAAAGTTTGGTTCATTTTATTGGTTCTGTTGTGTTGTTCCACTTATGTAATTATATTATGTTATCTTTGATCGAAGATAATGGGTCTCTTCGTTTCGTCACCACAATGTATGTATCTTTGTTCGTTTGGTTTCCGTTGCGGCAAACGCTATGTTTTGCAATTAAAATTTTTGAACGTCAATTAGATTCAAAGGTCAAAAACGTTGTGTTTATCACAACCGCAACAGCAGTCGTAACCGCTTGCGGCGACGAAACGAAATGTTCAATATGAGTGACTCATTTTCCTTGTCTGTTTATACTTTATATATGTGAGCTTCACTTATGTTTTCAAATAATGAATTGTTATGGTACCAAATTACATGGCATTGACACTGTGAGTGAATTTTTTTTTTTTTTAATGCAGTTATGACGTTTCTAGAGGATTATCCATTTTGTCCACCCAATGTGAGGTTACCTCAGAGATGTGGTGAGTGATTTGCTGCATCATGAAGCATTGTGTTGGGTCTATATAATGCATGTAGGAAGCAGTGTGTTGAATATGATTGTGTTTTTAATCATCTTCAATATCTTCTCAGCCTTTGTTAAGGGGGTCAATGAGGGAGCTAAGATAGCTCACCAATGTGTAGGGTTTCTGCACTACTTAAGAAAATTAAACCTAAAGAAATAATGCAATGTGTAAGGATTACTAGCTAATTAGCTATCATATTTTATGTAGGTTAAAGTATCATGAGTGATACTTTTCTTGTAAATAACATGGTGGAAACCATATTTAATTTATGTTCCGTAAATTGTTAATATAGAAAAATGTGACCATAATGAGAG